TGAACTCAATACTTAGACTCTTTTCAATGTTTCTTTCTACCTTCCAATATCATTGCCAGGATATTCGCCCATGGCTGATGAATGCTTGTAGCTCTCTCTGCTCTGGTTTGGACTCATGAACCATAGAATTATGTTGAGGAGAATAGATATTCAGTTTTGACATTTTTAAACAGTGGATTTTTTCCATAGAAATCTGCCATAGATTGTCAAGGTGATTCGAACACTTGGCTTGATTTTCGTTAGTTAATCTCTGGATACACTAATATTCTGGGTTTGTAACGATACCTTTCTCTACTTGCTGATGTTTGCAAGCTGTGTTACATGGTGTATTTGTGACAATGCTCTCAATCTGTGCTGTTTATACGGAAGTTAAGATGGTTGTAAGTTACAAGTTTAATTTTGTAGCTGAAGAATTTTAAGCAAGAAATTATTCTTTACATTTATTATCGATACTGAATATGATTGTTGTGGGCCTCAAAATTTCTCTTTGTTGTGGTTTTTTTTACTTGTTTAAAAATAGTTAAACAGTTAAGGTTCATCAAGCAACCCCTTTGTTCAACCCATTATTCACAGAATTTAACATGGATTGAAGGCTATAATTTCAAATCCTATTTTGCACATGTATTAGGGTGCCAAATGTATAATATAGTCTTATATATATAAACCTGTATCAGTATTATGTGCATTGTAGACATGTTTTGAAATCTTGAACTCGTTCATTTTGAAAAAGAAAACCTTTTGTCTGCTGTAATGTTGGCAACTGCAAGGACCTGTGTATTTCATTATAATACTAAGGAAAAAAAGGTTGGTTTATGGGTTTGAGTTTAAGCTGTCTTGTAAATGTTGAGAAGGTTAGTTTCTGACTCATGCACAGGTTCATTGGTACTGATGTCCCTGCCTGTGGTTTGGAACTAGGTGATCGTTAAGGTGTGTTCCAACCCAAACTGTGGTTCTGTGGTTTATTGTCTGTCGCTGATAGATTGGGAGAAGTACATTGTCTTGTGATCATGCACAAGATCAATTTGCATAGGCTAGAACTATTTAAGAGATCAGGATATACATAGAATCAAAGAATGGCTGGGTTGCAAGAGACCTTTAAAGGTTGTCTAGTCCAGCTCCCTGCAATCATCAGGGAAATGTCCAGGTGTCAGATGTGTTTGAGAGCTACCTCTGTAAGATCTTTCCTAGATTTATCACACTTGCTGCACTTTCTCTGCAAGGATGCGTTATCCTTTAAAACAGTTATTCCAACTATTTCTACAAAAGGATGTTAATTTTGTTTCTTTGACATTTCCCATACATTTCTACTGCTGTCTGTTTCATATTTTTTTATTTACTTTTTTGCCTTTTATCCCATGTTCACCTGAAAAGTCACTGTTTCAGTATTTAATATTGGTGAGGCAGATATTGATGACTTTTATAGGTTAAACCTTGTGTCAGCCCTTCTTTTCAGGATGAAAATTAGTGAGATCTGTTTGTTTTAAAACCAGTCTTACCCAGATTTTAATCTTTTTAGACTTCAGAGCTTCAGTCTTGCTTCAGTCTCTATGCAGCTTATAAGTAACTGCTTAAAAATTGTTAATGTTCTGCAATTGTCGAAATAACTGACTTCAGTGTATTTTAAATGTGGACATGCAGATTTTCAGATAATTATCAGTGTGCAATATTCTGTTTTATAACTATCTTTCTACTCCTGACAGGCTTCAGGAGGAGAAGATGAAATTCAACAGCTACAAAAGGCTTTGCTAGATTATCTGGATGAGAACACAGAAACTGATGCATCATTAGTGGTAAATTCTAGCTTTCTGCTAAATTTTAGCTTTCAGTAACATATACTAAATAAAATTATTTTTTGTTATGCATATTAGTGCTTCAATTAAATTGTCATTTTAACATGTACTGTTGACTGTGGTTTTGAAAATATTGTTGGTGCATTACATTTACTTAATCTCATTATAAATCTGTTAATTTTCCTTTTCTGTATCTTTTGTTTTTGTTTTCTGTGCATCCTGCTGTATTTCTCCAGTTTTCTCGGAAGTTTTATATAGCTCAGTGGTTCCGTGATACAACTATGGAGACGGAGAAAGCAATTAAATCTCAGAAGGATGAGGATTCGTCTGAAGGAACTCATCATGCAAAAGATGTTGAGACCACAGGACAAATCATGCATAGAGCAGAAAGCCGCAAAAAGTTTCTTCGCAGCATCGTTAAAACTGCTCCAACTCAGTTCAGTACATTAAAGTATGTTTCAGGATCACTTATTTCTTTATTTGCCATGCATTTGATGTTCTGAATCATTTTTGATAAACATGTCCTAATTAACACGTGGATTCTGTTGCAGGATGAATTCTGATACAGTGGACTATGAAGATGCATGTTTGATTGTTCGCTACTTGGCCTCTATGAGGCCGTTTGCCCAGAGCTTCGATATTTATTTGACACAGGTAAACTGTGCCAGAAGCATTAGTACAGTGAAACACAGTTGGTTTCTAATTCCAAACATTTTTGTGGTGGTGTGCCATATCTATTCATTATTGAGCACAGGTATTTAACAGGTCATGACTGCATCATGTGCTTTTGTAGTCTGCAATGATGATGTAAGTGATTATGTTTCTTGTATGCATTTCATATTGTCATATTGTGCATACATTGTTTTATTTGTCCATGTATATGTATGGCAAAATTATTATAATTAGGTATACAGAGTAGGAGGATAGTTATAAGATGTTGATATGATTTTCACTGTTTCTGCAAGATGAATACTACTTTGGTAGTACTAACCCATGAAATTGAGCTTAATTTAATTAGAAAAATACAAGCCAACTTCGTCAGTTGCTTCCAATATGTGTTAACTTCACTTTGGAAGGTGTTGTTTGACCAGTGTAATTTCTTTGCTCTTTCCGGAAGTGCACTAACGATGTTGGCATGGTGATGGGTTTGAACTCCAGTACTAGTTTAGGTCACTTTACTTATATTGATCTGCATACAGAGCCATTCAAATCAAATCAAATCAAATCAAACTGTACTGTTAAAACAACTATGATGAAAGCCACAACTGGATGACAAAAGTAGAGCTTAAAATGAAGGGACTTAAAGGAAACATACAGACCCTGTGTAAATCCTGTTTGGACCAGTCTTAGAGATGCAACAAATCCTAGTAAATTTCTCTGCTCAGTTGCCATAGAACATCACTTGCATACACCTTTTTACTGTCTGAGAAGTTATTCAGTTTTTAGTAGACAGATACTCTCATTTTAATTGAATTGCTTACACATTATTCCTGTGCATTTTTGCCTGTTGAATATTGTTTGCTACCTTCCCAAAGCAGTTGAATCTCCTTGGTTTTGTTCTCTTGTTAGATTCTGCGAGTACTTGGTGAAAACGCAATTGCTGTTCGAACAAAAGCCATGAAGTGTTTGTCAGAGGTTGTTGCTGTAGACCCCAGTATTCTCGCCAGGGTAAAAGAAATATCCATCATGCTCTTATATTCTTCTGTCATGCTTAAAATAAATCTGCATTTCCTATTTTGAATGATTTTCTTTTGTTCTTTCTAGCTGGATATGCAACGAGGTGTTCATGGTCGGTTAATGGATAACTCCACTAGTGTACGAGAAGCAGCTGTGGAGCTGCTCGGCCGCTTTGTGCTCTGTCGTCCGCAGCTTGCTGAGCAGTATTATGACATGCTGATTGAAAGAATATTGGTATGGTGACTTGTGATATTTATGATAAAATAAGTGTCACTGAAAAATGTGTTCCTAATTGAGTTTATATGTTTAGTCATATGGAGTGATGATCCCAAGAGTAAATTGTCTTGTATTGTTTTAATGGGGAGCATCATACTTTTAAGATGAATCACTTGTTTCCAGTGAGGCTTTGTTAAATCAAAAGGTAAACATACAGAGAGAGTTGTACCACATCAGAACCAAGATTGTATTCCTTTTGATTCCGTTATTAAGGTGCAAGTTAGGTGAAACGAGGAATTTTACCACATCTCTGAGGTCTGAGATGTGGGTTATTGAGGGCAGTTCAGTAGTGTGAGTGATGAAGAAATTTCTACAACACAGTAATCTAAAGATTACATTTGTAATCCAAAATAAAAACAACAAAAAAAGAAAGATAAAACTACTTTGTTTTCTGTGCTATTTTTCATGTTTTAAAACTCCTTATTAGAGTTTTTCTACAAAAAGCGTTTTTTCTCTCTGGACATTCAGGTAAAATAGAATATTAATTGAAATGTAAGATAACACTAGGTTTTAACATCCATGTCAGGTTTGTAGTGATTTAGTTTGCTGTAGTTACATGATAAAACTTGTTTGTGAAGGGAGTTTGGAGATAAGTAGCTTCATGTGCACATGAGCATGCATAAAAGCAGTTCGTCCTGATACTCAGATTCAACAGGTTTTTGATAAGGTAATATGAAGTGAAGCTGATCATTAATCTCCTTAGGTGAAGCCTAGGAAAATGGAAAAGATTGTTGCGTGTATCTTATCCATAAGCTTTGAAGTATTACAGTCCAGATCTACAAAGAATCTTGTGTGTTCCAACAAAGTAGCTAAAGGATCATCATCACATCTAGCTTGTAAACTCTTGAATTAAGAAGTGACATTACATATTTGCATGATCGTGAGGTCCTAGATGGGAGAGTGTAAATGGAGGAAGCCTTTCAGCACTCTGTGGACTCACCTAGAACCTTTGCTTCTTGTTAAAAATGAGGTGATACAGGTTATGCTGACCTTTTGTATAAATGCACTCCAGAATATTTTACCTGCTTTTTCAAAATAAATTTTGCAAGTCAGATTGGATGATCTCAAATATTAATTCATGTAATAGATAAATTAACTCCTATTTCTGATTTGTTTTCAACAGTATAATGTTTTACTCTTCACAGGATACTGGTATCAGTGTCAGAAAAAGGGTCATAAAGATACTTAGGGACATCTGCATCGAACAACCAACATTTCCCAAAATTACGGAGATGTGTGTGAAAATGATTCGGAGAGTCAATGATGAAGAAGGCATTAAGGTAGAATGAAACACATCCTTCAGGATTTTAATTATCATTATTTTATTGTTTCTATATTTTCACCAAAAAACACCTGAAAAATAAAAAAATACTGCATTGCTCCTTTGTACAATCTATGACCGTTATTCCATTTAATTTTTTAGAGCAGACATCTTAGTTTTCTAAAATGCTCTCTGACTTGTTTTTCTTTCTTTTCTATGTTATCTTTTTTTGAAGTTCTGTCTGATAATCAAAACATTTTAAAAAGCTATTTTCTAGAGAGTTTTTTTTTCTTCTTGCCAGTGTTGTCTCTGGTAATTCTCTTTTTTAAAAAGTAAAATTGGCATATAAAACTTATTTCTTTAAACTAATTTTAAGTCAAATTAAATACTTGACATTAATATATGCCAGATTTGTAAGTTCTGTGTATAAAAATTCTATTCTTCTGTTCTAATTTTGCATTAATTCCAGATGATCAGTTCCCCCTAAAATGTTCCTTAAATGATCATACTCTACTCAATGTCTATGTAGAAGGGCACAAAACTAACATCATGTGGTAAATAACAAACCTGATGATGGTTTTATTTGATTTGGCAAAATAATTTTAGGATTGCTGGGTAATTGAGAACACATCGATAGTAATTTTGTAGCACATAGTAATTTTGTAGCACACTCTAAGTAAGATTTGAAATCTATAACTTTAAAGGTGCAGCATACATTTTTACCAGCTGAGGTACATTAATGCCAAGTGGCTTTCCGAGAAGACTGTTAATCAAGAAGTAAATGAACAGCTGGATCCAAGATGCTACTAGGAAAGGAGAATGACCTTGTTCTCTCTCTTCCTTCTCCTTGCTGTTCCAGCATCAGAAAAAATAAAGCATTATCTTCAATGTACTTTTTATGTTTCTGTGAATGAGCAGAGTTTCTTACAACTATATGCCTTTAAAGTAATATGGAAATAATTTTGGTCACTTTCATTCTATTCAATTTTTTCATCCATCCAAAACCATTGGAAGCGAACGCACTTCCTCTCTTTGGGTGTAAGGACTTAGCTTCTCTCTGTTTCCCACCTTGTCACAGCTGTTCTGAAAAATCTAAAGTAACTTACCATTACTGCTCCTTCTGCTGCAGAAATCACAATCCGGTGTTCAGTTGTCAACTTCTCAGGGTACTGTGTTTTCCTAAGAAATGCAGATTAATGCAGGAACTTGTTAACTCCATTTTCTTTAGCTTCAGTTCCCAGTGATCATTTTACTGAAGCTTGCTTACAGGTCAGTATAAATCCTGTAATAGTAGATCTGGATCTGTTGCAGATTTCCTACAACAGTCTCACTTCAACTGAATAATTCCTTATGAAATGACATGCATCATTAACACATCTGTTGTATAGATATATTAGAAATAATACCTGTGTACCAAGATAAGTTTGTTTATTTCTGCTACTGTTTTTTCCTTTCAGAAATTAGTAAATGAGACATTCCAGAAGCTCTGGTTTACTCCAACTCCACACCATGACAAAGAAGCAATGACAAGGAAAATACTCAACATCACTGATGTGGTATGTTAAACAAATTTGAGTTGTGTACAAAATTTTATTATCTTTTTCATATCTTTGAAATATTGTCTGTGGGTTTTTTAGACTACAGTAATTTAATTGTGAGATTTTTTTTATATCTCCTGGCTTTGAATATATGCCAGAATAATTCATATGATGGAATAGACTGCAGGAAGCTTGAATGCTCACTAACCTGCTGGCAGTGATAAGTGAGACCACTCTATACTCAGGTTATATAAAATACTTGTTCAGTTAAAGCACAACAAATTTATATTTTATTTAACAGTTCCAAGAAATTGCTACAAGCAGCATCTAGTTAAGCCTAACTAAGAAATTGTTTCTTAGAAGAAAATTTTCCTCAAAAAATTGATAACATTTAGTTTGAAAAGTTAAAACACATATTCAAAAATATGGGGTCATGTTGTCGCTCAGAGTAAATTAGTTTCTGCATAATTGTATCTATGTTTTAGGTGCAGGAAATCAAATAGCATGTCTCCAAAATAAAAAATCTGGTAGTGAAAATGTATTGTGTAAAACCACTGTGAAGAGGCAATGTTTTAGTATCAGTTATACCAAGATGTAAATATCAAACAAAAATACTTGACTCATACTTTAAATTATGGTTTTAAATCTCAGCCTGCTTTTCAGTAATTTGTCCATGGGACAGCAACGTGTCGTTGTGGCCAAGAGGGCCAGTGGGATCCTGGGGTGCATTAAGAAAAGTGTGTCCAGCAGGTCTAGGGAGGTTCTTCTTCCCCTCTACTCTGCCCTGGTGAGAAAACACCTGGAATCCTGTGTCCAGTTTTGGGCTCCCCAATTCAAGAGAGGCAGGGACCTACTGAAGAGAGTCCAATGGAGAGCTCTGAGGATGATTAAGGGACTTTAACATCTCTCCTGTGAAGAGAGACTGGGAGAACTCAGACTGTTTAGACCTGCAAAGGGAAGGCTGAGAGAGGGCATCTTATTAATGTATACAAATATCTGAGGGGTAGGTGTCAAGAGGAAGGTGCCAGTCTCTTTTCAGTAGTGTCCAGTAATAGGACAAGGAATACTGGGTATAAGCTAGAACATAGGAAGTTCCACCTCAACATGAGGAGAAACTTCTTTGCTAGGAGGGTGAGCTTCAACAAGGCCAAGTGCCAGATCCTGCAGTTGGGCCACAACAACCCCATGCAACGCTACAGGCTTGGGGAAGGGTGGCTGGAGAGCTGTCTGGCAGAAAGGCACCTGGGGGTTCTAATCGACAAGTGACTGAATATGAGCCAGCAGTGTGCCCAGGTGACCAAGAAAGCCAACGGCATCTGGCTTGTATTAGAAATTTTGTGACCAGCAGAAGAAGGGAGGTGATTGTCCCTCTGTACTCAGCACTGGTGAGGCTGCACCTTGAGTATTGTGTTCAGTTTTGGTCATCTCAGTACAAGAGAGAGATCGAGGTGTTGGAGCGAGTGCAGAAGAGGGCAACAAAGCTGGTGAAGGGCCTGGAGAATGAATCTTAGGAAGAGCAATTGAAGGAGCTGGGCCTATGCAGTTTGAAGAGGAGGAGGCTGAGGGGAGACCTCATCACTCTCTACAACTAGCCGAAAGGACATTGTGGAGAGGTTGATGCTGGTCTCTTGTCACAGGTAATTAGGGATGGGACAAGAGGGAATGGCTTCAAACTGCAACAGGGTAGGTTTAGACTGGACATTAGGAAAAAAATTTTCACACAAAGGGTAGTCAGACATTGGAACAGGATGGCCAGGGAGGGGGGTGGGTCACCCATGCCCAGGGAGGTGGTTGAGTCACCATCCCTGGAGGTGTTTAAAAGTCGTTTAGATATGGTGTTGGGTGATATGGTTTAGGGGTGAACTTTACAGAGTAGGGTTAATGGTTGGACTCCATGATCCCAGGGGTCTTTTCCGACCTGAATGATTCTTTGACAGAGCCCTGGCACAGGCTGCCCAGAGAGGTTGTGGAGTCTCCTTCTCTGGGGACTTTCAAAACCCGCCTGGATGCATTCCTGTGTGGCTGCCCTGGGTGATCCTGCTCTGGCAGGGAGGTTGGATTAAATGATCTTTAGAGGTCCCTTCCAACACCTATCATTCTGTGATTCTATGATTCAATATTGTTACAGAATGGTGATCTAGTGCGCATTTTTCCAGACTGAGAAGTCAGTCAATTTGACTTCAGCTTGATTCTCAGTTCTCCTGCCAGTTCTGCTGTGAAGCACCTGTAAGCTGTTCCTGACATATGTTACGAGTGAAGGGTTGGTTTGTTTATATAAAAATATATACATACATACACTCATGTTCATTTTTAATATGTCAGGCTTGTATTTGAGTTTAAATCTGTGGCTTATGTTAGAAGCAGCAATCTCCAGTATAATGTGTAGGCTTTGTGTTGTATGGAATAAAAATTCTGGAGTCACTGAAATGGTGAGATCTATCTTTCAAATACAGAAGACAGTTTTTGATCTCAAAAGATACAAAATTATTTTACTGTATACATATGAAAGTACACCTTTACATGTTTGCTCATATTCTAAGAGATCTGTATTGAAATAATTTTTCCTCAGATGCCTTTTTTATTAACGAGTTTATTCTCAAAAATACGTCTAGGTTGCGGCTTGTAGAGATACGGGGTATGATTGGTTTGAACAGCTTCTTCAAAATGTAAGTAATGAATTTTGAATGTATCATGCAACCATTGTTAGAATTTTAATTTAGATTTTAGTTTAGCCTGGAGTGCCATGTATATAGACAAGTAAACCAGAGCCTCTTAATATTTGCACTGAAAAAAAGCTTTGTAGTATGGTGTCAATCCTTCTTAGATATTGACTGATCTTTGTGGACACAATTTCATGCCCAAAGTCATGCGGAAGAAAGCTGATTAAAATGTTCACAAAACTATGTTTCATCTTTGTTTGTTATTTTTGTTTAGTTGGTATTTTTATTTGCTCTTTTTTTCCTAAGCATTTTAAAAGCCTTCTAACTCCTATTAGTTACTGCTGTCAAGTATGACTAATTGTTGTTTTCTTGCTTTTGTCCCAAAACAATAGTAATAGATTCTGTGGGTTTTATTTCTGGGCGTTTTATTGCAGTTAATTTTTCTTCTCTTGCATTTTGGATTGATTTTTTTACCTCCCTTTTTTTTTCACCATGTAACTTTCATGGACAAGTTAAATAATTTTATAATGTAAAATCCTTGTGTATCTGTAGTTGTTAGAAAACCAGCATGTATACAATGTAAATGAATTCACCCTTAATACTGAACTATTTTCTCTTTTATCTCCTATAGCTGTTGAAGTCAGAAGAGGATGCCTCGTATAAACCTGTGAAGAAAGCCTGTACTCAACTTGTTGACAATTTGGTTGAGCACATTCTTAAATATGAGGAATCTTTATCAGGTAATGTTATTTACAACTCAGTAGCTAAACTCCTTTGAATTTTTTTATGATACTGTAACAGTGATTGTTCAAAATATTCTTCCAAAAAGTTCCTGTTACCGAATTCTTGTTACAAAGCCTATAGTAATGAATTATTGCTTTTAAATTCAGTATAAACTTGTGAACAGTGTATAATAATAAAGCTTCCCTAATTTTCTCTAGATAACCACGATAACAGAACTGCTTTTAAAATAACTTGTTTAAACTTTTAGATCACTAAAACCAAAGGAAACATGACAAGTTTTATTTACATAGTGTGTTCTGCAGTTGTAATAGAAGTCATTGGCTGGGCCAGTGTGTACTGTGTACAGTATATAGTTTAAAAACTAGGAATGTCTTTGAATCATATTTCCTTCTTTTTTGTGTGTATTTGATGGTCACATACAAATGTTAAGTTCTTACCTCTAATGAGAATATTCTGTATTGATTTTGAAAGACATGTAGAGAAAGAGGTACTCAAATTATGTTTTAGCCATATGTTTTTCATTGTTCAAATACTAGCTGGGCTTAATACCCTTTATGTATTTTCTAATCTTTTGCAGATTCTGACAACAAAGGTGTGAATTCTGGTCGCTTGGTTGCTTGCATAACCACTTTGTTCTTATTCAGCAAAATCAGGCCCCAGCTAATGGTCAAACATGCCATGACCATGCAGCCATACCTGACCACTAAATGTAGTGTAAGTAGAGAAAAATCAGTCTTTTTTTCCCCGCAGTAATTAAGCATGGAAATGAGTGGCTGTCTTGTATACTTTATGAAATTGAAGGTAGGAAAAAAAAATAAAATAATGGGTTTATTTCGTGGGCATCATAGCTTCTGAATGCACTAGGTCCTTCTGATGATCTCTAGCTTGTAAGATACTGTTCCTCACCCTCTACCTCTACATTTACAGCCAAATGAAATCGAAACTTGTGCTGTCTCTTTCCTTTGAGGACTAAGACCCAGTTTTTCACCTGTTAGGAAGTAGTTTCTTTAAATTCTCTTGTTTTATAGACACAGTCTTAGAAGTAGTTAGTATTTAACATATGAATCTTAAGACTGAAGTTATTGTTCCATAACGTGGAGTGATCTAACATAGCAAATAATCAGAAGGAAAATGCCCTGTTCAATCTGCTTCCATGCTTCACCTCCCACTTCCTAGTTCTAGTGTTTTAGTATTCCCCTGCTCATATAGACCTTTTTTCCCAGAAGTTCTGTAGAAAACAGAACTAATTTTCATTATAATATGTAACTTAATAGCAGATGTAAACTATGTAAATACTGGTTTAGATCTTTACCAAGTATATTACATGAGTTGGGATTTTTTTACTACCAGCGTGTATTAAGAATACTTAAGTTACAGTTTCATGGCCGGAAATGTTAAATGCTGTAAATCCTGTTGTTTCAGACCCAGAATGATTTCATGGTGATCTGCAATGTTGCAAAAATCTTAGAGCTTGTAGTGCCGCTAATGGAGCACCCAAGTGAAACGTTTCTTGCCACTATTGAGGAAGACCTCATGAAACTCATCATCAAATATGGCATGACCGTAAGCTTTTAATTGCTCCTGTTCAGTTGATTTCGTTTCATACTGTGTAATACATGGTTTTGATTTAAAGAAAATTTGTCTTCATTATGAAGATAACTTTTGAGCCATGAAAAGTCAGTGTACTTCATTTACTGGGGTTTGTAGGTGGTGTTGCTATATTTTAACAAGTTTGAGCAGTATTTCAGAGCAGTCTAGGAGATGGGCTTTACATCTGTTAGATCATTAGTTGTAGTTCAGCATAGCTTTTTCCCACATAACTTCACAAGAATGTTTTAACTTCCAAATGTGCAGTTCATTTGTTCTTTTGTCCACCTAGGTTGTTCAGCATTGTGTGAGCTGTCTTGGAGCTGTTGTGAACAAGGTCACACAGAACTATAAATTTGTATGGGCCTGTTTTAATAGATACTATGGTAAGTAAAATGACAACATGTAATTATCACTTTTCAGTTTTGGCTACAAATCTGATCATGATCAAACACTGTGAGCAAACTTTTATCTTAATGTAGGTGCACTTTCAAAATTAAAAAGTCAACACCAAGAAGATCCCAACAGTACAATACTTACTGCCAATAAACCAGCACTCCTTAGATCACTTTTCACTGTTGGAGCACTGTGCCGGCATTTTGATTTTGATCAGGAGGATTTTAAGGGCAACAGTAAGGTAAAGTAACTTGTGTTTACTCTCCATGTTGTAGATATACTGAATGCTCCACTTAGATTTGAAGGCACATTATTCATAGTCCCTCAGAGATAACTTTTTTTTTTAATGCATACAATATAGCTTTTTGATTTTAAATTACTTGCTTTTGCAAAGGCAATGCAGTAAGATTCTGTTTTTACTTTTTTATATTTGTGCATTTTATAAGAGATTAAAAACATCTACTTCATCTTCACGTACCTGTTACCTTTGTTTTAATTTGCTCAGGTTAACATTAAGGATAAAGTACTTGAACTGCTGATGTATTTTACAAAGCATTCGGATGAAGAAGTACAGACAAAAGCCATTATTGGCCTTGGTAAGAAATATTAGGTTTTTTTTTTTATTTTGCTGCAGTCCACACATATCAGTAGGAAATCATGTATATATGTAGTGACAAGGGATTTTGTTTAAAATAAAAGTTTACTGCGTGTTTTAAGAAGTGGCTATAGAAAAGTTGTCAAAGGATTGCTGGTTGCATACTTCTGCAGCTGAGAAGGATGATTTTGACACTGGATGCCTTTTGATGTGTGACCAAGTGCAGCGGATTTCCAAAGTAATGGAGATGTTATTTTTTTAACACATGCAAGAATGTTGCAATTCCAAAAGTTCTCAGTCCACAAGGTATGATTAAAGAACATCTAGACAAAGTTCTGGGAAAACTTTGAACATTTTAGGTGCAGGAGAAGAAACTCTGCAGGAGTCAAGGAAACTCTGGAGTTTATACTAACTGGGGGGTGCTCTGTGAGATTTCATGAGGCATTGACATAATGTCTTATCCAAGGTTGTCATGGGTCAAGACTGGGCTGGCCACTAGCACAGACAGACACTCTCTAACTCCCTCTTACCCCCCCCAAATGGGAAGGAAACAGGAATGACACAGAGGGACTTAAGGGTTAGAGAAGAAAAGGAAAAAAAAAAAAAAAA